AGGACACGCATAATTCTGAAGAACGGTTCTTCTCGATCTTCCGCCGAAGCTTTGTTCCCGGCGAAATCCTTGCTCAAATCTCTCGGTCTCTTCTTTTGGGCTCACCATGGTTCGTAGATCTGTACGGATGGTCGTGGCCTCGACCCTCTCACCACCAGTTGTTTCAGAATTGACCGTGACTCCCTCTCACTTACGGGGGATACTCTCTCCGGCGCAGCCGCACCTTCAAAAATCGGCGGAGCCTTCAAATCCGCATGTACCCCAGATCTGTCGCTTCTCCCCTGTTCAAGCATCATGGGTTCATCTTTGCAAAGCTTCACCGTCGCTCTTGCCGTCTTGGACATGTCGCTATCTAGCTTGCTAAAGCCAATGACAGATCCACTACCTCTTTCTAGGTCGATGAATTCCGACCAATCACTGCTCAACATATCTCCATCTCCATCTCTCACAAAGCATCGTTGTTCATATCGGCAAATCTCAACCGATGCTTCTTGTCTTTGGATCACCAATCCACTCATTGTGGTGTATTGCTGATTTCGGACCTTTCTGCAATCAAGTAGGTGCATTATCGCCTAGTCCGTTGAAGCGTATAGCTTCTACTCAAACCTTTTCCATATCGGGAATGGAGAGACCTATTTCACTAATCTCAACCGACCTAACTTTCGTCGAGGCATCGACATCAACCTCGGATCCACCAACCGTAATCCCATCTCCATCGTGGATCTGTTACTTCGACCACTCAACATGGGCGAAACCCTACCTCCCTCTCGATATCATTCATGTATGGGCCTGGCCTAATCTGATAGTTGGGCTTCTAGCCTAATATGATCAAGTCTTTATGCTCCTCCATCGGTTAACAATGAGAAGCCAAATCCCGTGGATGATTTTCTTTGTGTTACAAGAAGAACTATCACGGTTCATACAATGATGGATACAATATAAGCCTCTTCCATTCCATTGAGAATGGTCGGATAATCTTCCCTCTCTTTGAGAGTGGACGCTTTCCCGAACTTAATGCCGGAAACCTTGAAGAATCTTTTCACCGTTTTGCTTTATGTAGTAACCGGTTTCGATTCTACGATGACCGGAGGTAGAAATTCGATTACAGAATCACTTTGGAAAGTGACCAATCTGAGAGTCCCTGGCTTTGCCGCGAAGACCCTCTTGACGCATTCGAGACATGCCTTGAATCCGCTGTCCATCTCTCGCGATGATCTATATGTTTTATGTTTTGTTGAGTTTTAATTTTAATCATGTTGTAGTAAGATTAGAGGATGATTAGTTCCCTCTATTTGTACTTTGGAAGTTTAAGGAATGAAGTAACATTGTGGAAAAAAAAAGCAAGATGTCTCAAAAGTAATAAACTAAACATAAATGTTGTCTTACACGTGGACTATAAACTGACCTCACATAGAGTAAGTTAGTTTATCAAACGATCAGGTGAGACCCAAAATCGGCAAAGCACAAAAAATATGAATTGAGTTTCTGGTTGAAACCGTAGCTTCAATCAATGGCAGAGTGGATCAGAATTGATGCTTAGTCTGGTGTAGAAACTACACCTTCTGCTTAAAGAAAAAGTGATTTAAAACCAAAAAAAAAATTGTAATAGAATAATAATACATTCCGATGATTAAAACAAAACCAAATCAACTATGATCAACTAAATCTCTTTCAATCTCCAAAACAAACCCATAAATCTATCCATAATGCTTCGATACAATCTATCCATAATTGTATCAAAGCATCCAAATAATTATGAGATACTTTGGCAAATATATAGTACCCGAGAAACTAACCACAAATCAAATCATTTGGACCGAAACTGGGCCAACTGAAGAGGGAAACAAGCGGTGTGACGACCTGGAGCCCAACTATGTATCTCATCACAATAATTAAAGAGTCCAAACAAAATGGAAAAAACTGTCTATTTCCCCACCAAAACTATGACATATGCTTATATGGAGTCCAAATCTTACCTTCTTTACAGACCTCCATGAGACAATAGTTTTAAGCTTATATCTCTCTCATTTCAAAGTTTCAATCATATATACCCACATATATTGATTTCAATCGGTTTGAATGGTTTACGATCTAAACCGACACAAAACCATCAAACTAAATCGAACCAAAAAGGGTTTACTTATTTATTATAATTAATAGCAATAAAAAATAATACATTAAACAAAAAATTCATCTTCTTCTTCCTCAATCGTTTGAAGAAGAAACTTGGAGTCGAGAGGATTCACTCCTCAATCTCAATCAAGTTTTTGGTCATTTCTTCCAACTTTCTGTAGTGAAATTAGGGTTTTTTATTTCGATATTTTTCAAACAATTTTATTTATTTAAAGATTGTGTAGCCAAACCCAGATCCGCAGCGAGGCTCACTGATGAAGACTTGGATCTTTTGGCGAGGAGGTCTGGTTACGTGCCGCGACGGGGACCAACACAAGTGTCTTCACAAACTGAGGGTCTGCGACGGGACCAAAACAAAAGATATATGCATAATTGGGAAACAGTAAACCAATATCATGGATTTTGAAGCATGAAACTTTGGTTTGGTGGGGATATATGATTGAAACTTTGAATTGGGAGAGATATATGCATAAAACTATCGTTTCATGGAGATCTATAAAGAGGATAAAGTTTGGGCTTTATATAAGCATATGTCATAGGTTTGGTGGGGAAATAGACAGTTTTTTCCAACAAAGTGTTAAAAGTTTTGTTAAAATTGGGTAAAATTAATTAAAAAGTTTAGAAGGGTCCATAATTTTTTTTATGATGTATATTTGTTTTAGTAACCGAATCGATAAAATAAATTAATAAAATTGTTTAAAACTGTTATATCTAGCAAAAAAACAAAAATCAAATTTAAATGGTCAAAGAGAAACAATTTAAACAAAAATCAAATTTAAATGGTAAAAAAAACAAATTTAAATTGTAGTTGAAAACATATTTGTGAAATAAAAATTAAATTAAAATTTTCTCTTCAAAATTGTTTTTTCTCTTTTTTTTTTAAGTTTTGCCTAATATTTGCTTGAGTTTTTACCTTGGGAGAATTGCAAAACTGCCACTTTTTGATGACACATTTACAAGCGTGCTACACCCACATGACTCTTTACAAATCTATCACTTTTTAATAAGAAAGTGACAAAAATGTCCATT